CAGCAGTGGGACGTGAGATGAAAGGACCAGAAAACAGAACTGAAGCCAGACAGGCTGCAGCCAGTGGAAGGAGCTGGGTGGTCTGTAGCCTGGAAGAGGAACAGGGGTGTGCACTCAGGAATTCAAGAGCCCTGAGAGATGGGCAAGGGTAAAGGCAAGTGAGCATGTTCATTCATTTATCCAACATGTATTCATCAAGCTGCAGTCATGTGCTAAGCGCTGTTCTAGGCTTGGAGGCCTCTGTGGTGCACAAGGTATAGTCTCTGCTCTTGTGGAGTACATGCTGTAGTGGGGAGTAAAGACGTAAAAAAGATACTGTATGATAGTTATAAATACCATGATGCTGCAGTCATGTGCTAAGCGCTGTTCTAGGCTTGGAGGCCTCTGTGGTGCACAAGGTATAGCCTCTGCTCTTCTGGAGTACATGCTGTAGTGGGGAGTAAAGACGTAAAAAGATACTGTATGATAGTGATAAATACCATGACGGAAATAAACAGATTGCTGGGGTAGAGAGTGCCTAGTAAATGGGGGACACTTTTAAAACATGGGAAGGAAAAGCCACTTTGAGAATATGCCACTTGAACTGAGGCCTGAATGATGAGGAGGAGCCAGCCAAGGGACAATGTGGGGGCAAAGCATTCCACAGGAAAGCAAAGGCCCCGGGGGTGGAATGAACTTGGCATTTCGAGGAATAGATGAAAGACAAGTGTGGCTGGAAGAAGAGGTAGATGGGTCCAATTCGTGGAGTACTCTGGGGATCATAAAGGAGTTTGGATTTTATCCTGTGTGTAATGAGAATCCACATGAAGGCTTTAAGCAGGAGAATGGTGTGATCTGAATTCTGAGAAATGTCCTAGCTCTGTGGGCACTCAGTTTTCTAGAACAAATAAGAATAAGCAAATCTTGTTTTCTTGGGGGTAGAGGAGGTGAGGGTGGGAAGACCCTGGATCAGGCAGGAACTTCTAACTACATGGCAAATCTCGATTGCAGCGAGGTGTTTGATAAAGGCTCTCATGGATGAATAGAGATGGCACGATAGTGACTGGATTGATTTATTCCCCCGAAGTGTTGATTCGGGATTACTGTCAGGTTGGGAGGGGCGTCCCTAGCATTGTCCCCAAGGCTCTGCCCTGGACTCTCTCCTGTTCGACATTTCTATCCATAAATTGGTGGAAGACTCAGAAGATGTGCTCATCAGACATGCAGCTGACATGGAGCTGTCAGGGACAGTTAATGCCACGGATGACAGGCTCAAGATTCACTGTGATGATCTTCGGCAGGCTGGTGCAATGGGACGAGACCAGCGATAGCCCTGATTGCACTCAGATTGGTCCAGGCACCAGGGAGACTCCACTGGAGAACTATGTCCTGAAAGGAAGTCTGAGCTGGGGATGGGGGGCACTTAGTGGAGGCAGCTGGACACTGCTGCGTCCCCACACCAGCCTCTTCCCTTTCTTGGTGACAAGGTCTTTAGCCTTGTGGGGTCATTCTTCCCATCTGTAAAGTGGGGATGATACTGTCTATTGCCCAGGGGTGTGGAGAGGATTAAATATGAGCATGTATCTGGATGCCTGGCTTCCTGTCTGGCCTGCAGGGGACTCAAGACAAATGCAAGGGAAATAGGAGTTTGTAGAGGCCAGCAGGGGAAGGCCAGATGCCCTGGGGCAGCTCTGCAGGGGCACATGGAGGACTCATAGCCAGGGTGGCCCCTCCGTTTGTTCTTGGCCTGGCAATGCCCCTTCTGGGAATGCCAGCTTTCTAGGAATCCCATTGACCCCTGCGGTGTGTCCAGAGGGGAATGATCAGGAAGAGTCGAGTCTGGAAGCCAAGTTTTCTGGGAGCCATTGTGAGTTTGGAATGGAGAGAAAGAGATGGTTGCAGCTGGGAGGGACACGAATGTTTTCTCAGACACCACAAGGGCTGCGGCTTGGGAAAGGAGAAGGTGCGTTCTTCATTGTTCCAGATGCCAACGGAGGTGCTGTGAGGGGAGGTTGTGCGGAGGCCTATGTGGGTGCATGGTAACTAAGATCTAACCACTGGTATAACATTATAGTAATTATGCTGTGAACATTTATTGAGGGCTTACTATGCACCAGGCTTGTGCTAGGGGCTTGCACAACTTATGGAATCCTCACGTTAGCCGCACTTGGCAGAGGAAAAATACAAGGTGTAGAAGGCAGCTACCGAGAGAGAACAGGGACTCACACTCAGCTCCTGCTGGCTTCTCTCCATCAACCTGGCTCCAGGGTTGGGGAGGGGCAGAAGTGTCCTTTCCGGTGCTGAGAAGAGACCATCAGTGGGATGTTCTTTGTACAAGGACCTCAGGGTCCTGTAGGTCTTTTAGAAGCTGCCTTGACTGCTCCTTGGAGCTGGTACTTTAAAGGATTTGGTGGTGAGCCATGTATGTGTGTGTATGTGTGTGTGTGTGTGGGTGGGTGGGTGTGTGGGTTGGTGGGTGCACGCACATGCACACAGGCGCGCAGCATGTGACAAACCCATGCAGCCATTGCCCAGCTTCAGCAGTGATCCATGTATGGCCAATCTTGTTTCATCTATTATGCCCCACTTCCTCTCCCTCCCCCTCCTTGCTGGACTAATTTTAGAGGAAATCCCAGACATAAGTTTATCTGTAAATACTGTAGTATGTATCTTTAAGAGATAAGGACTCTTTTAGTTGCTGTTGCTTGAGTATATCCACAATACCGTTCTCACAATTGAAAAAATTAACCCACAGTATTCCTCCCTCCTCTGCAGGGGATGTGTTCCAAGCCCCCCAGTGAATGCCTGGAACCTCAGATAGCACCAAACCCTGCATATACTATATAGCTCTCTTGATCTGATAACCAAGACAGCTACTAAGTGACTAACTGGCAGGCAGCGTGTCCAACGTGGATATGCTGGGCAAGGGATGATTCACGTCCTGGGCGGGACGGAGCGGGACAGCACAAGATTTCATCACGCTACTCAGAACAGCGTGCAATTTCAAACTTATAAATTGTTTATTTCTGGTATTTTCCATTTCACATTCTCAGACCTCAGTTGACTGTGGAGGACTGAAACCATGGAAATCAAACCTGCAGATAAGGGGGACTACTGCAATTGCAGTGAGTCTTGCTAATTCAGAAAAGTTACTGGTATACAGCTTGCTTTTTGCAGGGTGTTTTGGGGTAGAGTGGAGGCAAAAACTAACTCTTCACATATCTGATTCCTGTGGCTCGAGACTCACCTGCTCCTTTGAGGATGATGATGAAGAGGAAGAGGAGGAGGGGGACCTAAAACTTGGGACCATGGATTGGCAACCTCTTTATTCTGATTGTTCCCAGGGGGCACAGCCATGAGAGTGGGGCCTAGTTACAGACCTAAGTCTAGACATGGGAAGGAGGCAAAAGGAAGGGAAGAGGTGAGAGGTTGGGGAAGAGGGAGGGAAAAGAAAGAGTGGAGGGAAAGAGAAGATAAAGAGGAACGATGATGACTCTGCTGGTTCTCTGTATGGTGACATATGAGTCATGTGTGTCCGCCCGTTTCTGTTCATGTGTGTGTGCATCAAACACATGTGTGCACGTACTTGTATGTGTGCTCATACACAAAGAGCAACACCAGGAAGGCGTGGTTCCTGTTGGGAGCATTCCATGGTCACTGCTTGGGTGGGTTATTAGAGCTGGAGTATGCACTGGGCCTACCCGACTGCAAAGCCCAAGCTGCAGCAGCTGAGTGCCACGTGTGGGGCTCTCTCATTTCCCTTCTGCCTTTCCTCCATCATCTTCTCCCTCAGCACTCCCAGGGGTAGAGCACTCAGCAGTTTCCAGAATGCCTGGTGTAGGCCATCTCATCCACCCTCCACAGGAGCCCATCCGGTAGGGATAGTAGACGGTCCTAAGCTGGGTGGTCCTGGTTCTCCTGGAAGTGCCACCGGGAGGAAGGTGCCTACTTGCTAAGGACACTGGTGGGCTTCATGGGGCCACCATCTAGGCCAGCAGGAGGGCCACCCTCTCCCACCTCTGGGAGCGACCAGGAGCCTAGAATCCAGGGGACCATCAGGTGCCATCAGGCTGGTGTTGGCCAGCAAGGGTCTAGATGGAGGTCCAGGGTCTGAGGAGCAGATAGAGGCCAGTGTTTAGGTACAGAGAGACCCTTGTGAATTGGTGCAGGGACCAACCATCTGCTGGTGCCACCCACAGAGCGAGGCCCAGTCCAGAGGTCATGATCTTGTCAGAGGTTATTGCCAGACAGGGTAGACGTAGGTATCCACTGGGCCATGGCGTGGAATCCAGGGTCCAGGGGCCCAGCCGGTCTGACAGGGTATAGACATAACAGCTGACATTCGTATTGCCCTCACTCTGTGCATGACACTGTCCCAAGTGCTTTACCTCTCTACGATATTCCTACTAATCAGATGAGGGGGCTGGGATACCACGATGCTGAACAACTTGCCCAGGGTCACAGAAATGGGAAGTGACAGAGCCAGGTTGTGAGCTCAGGCTGAACGCATCACCATTCTGCAAAGAGGGGTCAGGGTCTGTGCTGTGTTCCTGGGGGCTTCTCAGAGCTGAGCCCCAGTGCTCTGGATGCCACACTTAGAGCTGTTGGCTCACTCCTGACCACTTTGCTGCTGGACAAAAGTCCCCAGTGAACCACCTCTTTGGTCTTTCATTGCTTCAGGTCCTGGGCACAATGAACAGGGGGGATGGACTGAAATAAGGCTCAGTGAGGTGGTGACTCTCCTCGGCTCACTCAATAAGAGTGTTGGGAGAGGACCCAGGTATCCCAATTCCCAGAACCACACTCTCAGTCTACACCCCACTGGTGTAGTGTAGAACTCTCTTGCGAGTCCACTGTGTGTGCATTTTTTCTCTTAAAAAAGCAATAGGTCTCTCTTACCTGGAAAGGTGTTTCTGTCATGTCCTGCACCCATTGTCTTTCCCTGGGGCCTGTGTCCTGCTGCAGAGCCACCCCTTGGTGAGCTGGCACTAACACTGTCTGTCTCTCTGACCTGTTTGCAGAGCCCTGGAACTCAGCAGTGGCAAAGATGAGATCTCCCTGTTGGTGGAGCAGGAGTTCCTGAGCCTCACCAGAGAGCACCTCATCCTGGTCAAAGAGAGCTCAGGGGAGCCGGAGGCAACTGGCAACTGTCCCAAGGGGACCAGAGAACCTGCTCCCTGCATTCTCACACCTCCCCTGGTGGCAGGCAGCAGTGAACACCCAGGAGCCTCTGTCATTGCCGGTGACAAGGTTATGGAGCAGGTGTCCGTGTCCATTATTGGCAGCCGGCAGGACTGCGATTCTGCCATGTCTGCAGTCACGGGCATCCTGTGTGCCACCAAAGTCAAGAGTGCCAAGGGGACAGAGGACGGGGGCCATAGCCCGGGTGCCTCCAACTCGGAGATCAGCAAGCTCCTGGCCCAGTTCCCGTTGAAGTCCACTGAAACGTCTAAGGCCCCTGACCACAAAATGGTGCTGGAGGAGACAAGAGTCATCAAGGACTTCCTGCAGAACAGCATGTTAAGTGGCCCTGGGCCCATGGAGCCTGGGGGGCTGGGCCCGTTCCTGCTGCTGCCACCCCCTCCTCCCCCAGGACTCCCCGACAAGCTCCCTGACCTCCCTGCTCAGAAGAGGCAGCTTCCCGTGTTTGCCAAGATCTGCTCCAAGACCAATGCTGACCTCACCTTGGAGGGGCTGAGTGAGTGGGGCTGAATGGGGCTGGGAACTGGGTAGACAGTCCCTCCTGCAAGGAGGACATCCTTTCCAGGAAGGCAATGAGGGCTGCAGCATGCACATAAAGTGTCTTTGTGCAAAGAAAGCAGGACAAAGCAGCCTCTGGCGGGCACAGCCCCCAGGTACAGGCTGTTTTCAGACCCCAGAGGTCCCCTCTGTTGAATGCCCGCGTGCAGGGCACAGCTTGTGCCAGCAAACCCAGAGGCCCAATACCAACATGCTTTAAGAAGAGAGATAGGCATCATGTAGTAACACTTGTTTTTTTAATCTACCAGGTATGCAGAGTACGTTGAAGGAAGTGTTTCCCCTAGCCAGGTCCTGGGTGAAGCTGCAGTACAGGGTCTTTAAGATGGATAGGAGAGAAATTTGATTGGCAACTGGGTCATTTGGCTTCTGATGGAGGCACCTGTTCTGTCAACAAGGCCTGGTCCTCTCTCTCTGGGGCAAGGGGTGGATGCAGAAATTATCCAGGCGCAGTTCAGATGCTTGGCGCTGGGATTAGTTCCCCAGGACTCCAGGAAAGTGCATTCCCGTCCCCTAATTGAGGAGTCTGCATCCTTCTCAGGAAATCTAGCCACCTCCCAAGTTTCCCTCATCCCCCACCTCCAGGATTCTGCAGTCATTTGGCTTCTGATGGAGGCACCTGTTCTGTCAACAAGGCCTGGTCCTCTCTCTCTGGGACAAGGGGTGGATGCAGAAATTATCCAGGCGCAGTTCAGATGCTTGGCGCTGGGATTAGTTCCCCAGGACTCCAGGAAAGTGCATTCCTGTCCCCTAATTTAGGAGTCTGCATCCTTCTCAGGAAATCTAGCCACCTCCCAAGTTTCCCTCACCCCCCCACCTCCAGGATTCTGCATTCTGTTCTGATCTAGATGGTTCCAAGAAGGCAGACTGATGGCAGAGGCATTTGCCTACAGTCAGC